TTGTTGCTACCATTATAGGGCGCAGAGGTAGAAGTGCTTCATGAATAGCGCTTCCGTTGTGTTGTAGCTTTCTGAACTACTGCACAGCTTTGAATTGCGCATGCTGACCTGTGTGACAGGATTTCAGCCGCTGTTCGGAACAGTGATATTCACTAAAGGTCTGAAGAGTCTGAGCTTTCATTATCGAATGAAGCGAATATAGTAAATATTTCTTTACAGCAGCTAAGAGACTTTAAATGCTCTAGATGCAACTCTGTCACTCAAAGAATGACGAGTGCCGCTGGGCTGCGCTCCCCCCCGTCCCCATTTCCACCTTGTTCTAGGGCTCACTATCTCAGTGGGAAGATGTTTAAATGTCTATTGAATATCTATTTCTTTAGGAGGTGGTCTAGGAAATCCACATTCTTTTTCCCTCCCTCCCAACCACCCAAGCCTGCACATACACTAATTTTAAATTTTTACACAATGGTCTTCCTCACATTACATCTCAAGTGCAGGCCCACAGTTCTGAAGTTCCAGTCTTTAAATCTCAGGGAATGGGATCCTATAACTTGGCAACCCTACTTCTGTGCAGTCTTCCTTAGTTTTTTGGGGGGGCGGATTAAAATTAGTCTTAATGAGTGTGCACTGCTGAAATTGGTAGGGGCTCTAAAGTGAACAAAAAGGGCGGGATGGGGCCACTTATAAAAAATGTACAGAACATAAATGCTGCCTGTTTTATGGCATGGCTTGATTACGAAAAGTGGGGGTGTGTGTGTGTGTGTGTGTGTGTGTGTGTGTGTGTGTGTGTGTGTGTGTGTACAATCTCTAACAGGTTTTCCTCCTTCATCTAAGTGTACCATTTTTTCACTTTTCACTTTCCATCTTTCATTAACTTCTAAAAATAATAATCATGCGCCCTCAAGTCAACTCTGACTTATGGGTTTTCTAGCTAGAGAATACTCCGAAGTAGTTGACCACTTCCTTCTTCTGGAGGTGCCCTGAGATAGTGCAGCTTGCCCAAGGCCACACAGGCTGGCTCTACTCACAGGAGGCACACTGGGGAATCAAACTCCCAACATTTATGCTCCACAGCCAGATACCGCAACCACTGAGCTATCCAGCCAGCTTTCATTATCTTCCACTTGGGAAAAATAAATATGTACTTTATTCAATTACTATCTCTAATGATCTCAAGTGATTGTTCACACCCAAAAGCATAATTTGTTTCCTTTCCTATTTTTTGAGAAATTCATCTAGTAGGTTAACAGTTGCTCATCCCAAAATGAATAGCAAGACACTAACTGCAACTATAGCTGAAATGCACAGAGGTTATAAACATTAGACTCTCTAACTTGATATTAAGGATGCACTAGCAGGCTACTGGGCGTAAGGGTCAGATCACAGATCAAGACAAATACGCATTTGTTCCACTTAGAATGCTAGCCCTTCAGCATGAGCATTTTTCCACGCTCTTGCCTGTGACACATGAAATATGCAAACAAAGCTATGCTGTTTCCAGACTGATGAATTTAAAAACAAAAACAAGCTATTTTGCCAGCTGCAAATGGAGGCAAGTTTGTGTCACAATTAAGAGGTGCTCTTTTTCCTCTGAAAGGTGCACTGCTCCTAGATAAGGAATCTGTCTCCCATTGAGTGAGGCCCTTAGTCAAAGAAATAATGTCTAGTCATTTCCACACATATTCATATGGTTCTAGAGAGAAAGAGATAGAACTGCTCTATTCCCCTTTGACTTTTGACAGTAACTTCTGTCTGTAGCACCAGAACTCTGCACCATAGTGACATTTTCAACTTAATTTGATCTAGCAGGGAGTGGTATTAACTGCTGCATAGACCTTCAAGTTAGAACTGGATCTGTGTTTCACAGTCTCCTTTGCAAGGAGATGTAAATTATGAATGTTAACATAATGGTTGTTCTTGGTCCTCAGTGCAACTACATTGCTTCCATCTGAGCTAACACAGGTGCAACTGACAGTGCTGGACATATCTATTGAGTTCATTTTCAATACCTTTGTACTCTTTTAAAATCCTAAGGGTTTGGTTCTCCTGTCCCATTTGTGAAGAAATTTGAACTTTTTGGCAAAGATTTATTCAAAAGAGTCAAATGCAATTCTCATTTACCCCTTTGCATTAGGTCCAATAAATACACACTCGTCTATGGCTCACACAGTGGACCCTCTACTTACGGAATTAATCTGGATTGGAATGGTGGCTGCAGGTCAAAAAGTCTGTAGGTCGAGTCTCCATTGACCTACAATGCATTGAAAACCGATTAATCCGTAACCGGCCGTTTTTGTTCTGTTTTTGTTTCATTTTGGTTTTTTTTCTGGTGTGTTAGTCGATTCTCCGGCTGCAAGTCGAACCTAAATTTTGCCGCCAGAGAAGTCTGTAACTTGAAAAGTCTGTAAGTTGAGCTATCTGTAAGTCGAGGGTCCACTGTAGTTTGAACAAGCAGGGAGTTTACCCCACCATTTTTGGGTAGAGTGACCCCCCTGGTCAGATTGTGAGCTGGTCTTGCTCCAGTTATTCCCAGAATGGGGTGCACAGTACAGTATAATGTCTGCCTGCCAGGTGGCTGCTGAAAACCAGGATCCTGCTGGCAGAGTGTGAGGGATAGCCGAATATTTAAGAGCTTCATCATTCATTCATAGCCTTCTGCTAAATCTAACAGTGTTGCTGTGTTCTACAATTAATTTTCTAAAAAATCTTGAACTGTTTCTTTGTTGCTGTGCTTTTGACAGTTTTTAATCCAATTATATTTCATAATTGTGTTTGTGTATTAAGATTATATTCTGTTTGTATGTATACATGTTTAGTTAAATCTTGTGAGCTGCCTTGAGGGCCAGTTATTTTAAACCAAATCATGTCAATACTGTAATCTCCCCATCTGTTCATCAGTATATTTGCAGTTTTCAGAAAGTTCCCAGCTAGAAAACTGCAACAACCCACAAAAGCAAATAGAAGCCTGGGGGCCGCCATTTTCTTCTGCAATGTCTCTGTTTGAACAATGTTACATCAGTCTAGCATCACGGCAGAAGTCCTGTCATCCTGTGAAAGACCTCCTCTCCTCCTTCAACACATTTTCCCAACCTCCCACATCTTCTGTAAGGACGATACATTTTGATGCAGCATCATTCAGACAGATGCATCACAGAGGAATATGGTACATTTAGCCACAAAATTGTGACACATCACTGTGAGGGGTAAAAGAGCAATTATTTAAAGAGTCTTTCCCAATCCACCAAATGCCAGAGATTCTGTTTTATCACAGAAAGGGGAAATGGTTTGAAATTTCTCCAAGTCCCCTCAAATATATCCTGCTTTTCCTCTCCTCTTTCCCTCACTGTTATCCCTGTTCTTTTTTGAGTCAAAGCTTACTTCTGCCTCTGATTTAATGGGTGTCTAGTATATGAATTGTACCTGAATGTCTTCAGTCTGAGGAGGCTATGATGGGGATGACAACTTATACCTTCCTTCAATGCCTCAAAGGACATTGGACATGGGGGTTGTGGTGGACCCGATTCTCACAGCTTCAGCAGCACACATAATTGAACTTTATCTAGTTTTGGAAGCTTGGCTGGGCTTTGTTAGCAGCTGGACAGGAGGTCACCAGGAATACCAGGAAAAGAATCTTAGGTGAAGTACTGGTGACCTGCTACTAGACCACAGTTGACCATGAAGATGTGAAGTGTGAAGCAGGTCCTCATGCTTCTATGCTCCTAATTAAAACATCAACTTAAATCGATTTCTTCCTCCCTACACTATGGGCCTCTGTTTATTTTGGGATAACACCATCTCTTAATTCCACTTTAGACATTCTTCTGGCCCTCCCGGAAGCTGATATGAACTGTAGCGCAGGTTGATCTGTACCTGATGCCAAATTCTGCAACAAACAGATTAAAGGCAAGTGGTAGATCAGGGCCATTTATCTTCACATCTGTTGATAAGGTACTCAAGAAAGATACATTCTAGACGAGGTTTTATCCTTTATCTCTTACTTGAACTTAGTTCATCTAGGTGGCGGGGGAACACAGCTTGTTCAACTCAGATAACAGCTAGTTGCTTCCTGAGATACTGACCTTTTAAGCAGGAGGAGAAATTCAGGAGGCAAGTAAAAGATTAAATAACAGATTATTTGTATATCCGAGTAGTCAGAGTGGAAAGGAGGGTAACGGGAAGGCAATCGATCAAGAGAAAAACACAGCACTCAACCACATTCTGCAATAGCAACTGACACTTTGTGGTGTTGTAAATTAAGTCCATAGCTCAATTAGGCAATCAAATGCCATTGAACTTTTACTTGTGCAACTTTTTCTTGAAAAAATGAGTATGATCCTGCCAAAGGGAAATACTTTGAAGTGTCATTGACTGCTTTGCAAGTGTGTGTCTAACACTGTCTTGATGACACTAGTGGAATCTAGAAGGACTTACGTTTTGCTGGGTTACACCTATGCTTGGAAGCATTGATGAATGTGGGAATAAGGAATATCAAATTCTTGTGTTTATATTTAACAGACACAGCATGTGCTCAGGCTACATAGAGTCACAGATTTAGATTTGCGGTGCTTTGTAATCTGCAGCAGGGAAAATCTCTGACTGAGACAGGCTAAAGGATGAAAAAAAAAGTTTCAAATAAATTTAGACCTTAGAAATGTTGTCCTGCAATTGATTTGCTGGAACTGCCATTCTAACAGACTGTTGTTGGGCAGGAATTGCAGGATACATCCCTTGTATGAATATATGTCAAAGTTATAAGATTCAGACACCCCAAGACTTCTTAAAAATCCACTGCTGAAGTTAGGGGATTAGTCCTTTTCTGAACCTCTGTTGTATTTTGGTGAGAGGATTTTTAAACTAAGAATTTCTTTAAAAAATATCTAAGGCATAGTGTACCGCAACACAATAGAAAAGTGAGACTAGAATATAATTGCATTACCATATATAAGGACGGTTTTGTTCACTGTCTTACATAATTGCAAGTATGCCTCCCCCCCCTTTGCTTTTTACAGTAATGCTTCCATAGAGAACAATAGCAAATCCCCAGTTAAATTTAGTGGAGCAATATTTTACTTTTTTTTCTATCTTAAAGAAAGCCCATTTTCTAATCTGAGCTAGCAGTATCCAAGATGCTGCTTACAAAAGTACTCAATTTTGTTGAACAGAATGCTTGCAGGATCTCATTTTCTTACTTTAGTTTTCATAGTTATGTTATCTATTCTTATTAAAAATGCCTTTCTTTCTTTTTTTAGTAGCAATACTGCAAGTGATTCTTACCAGAAATTCTTGAGGTTTCATGACTGTGACAATTTTTCTGCATTTCTGTTCTGACAGGAATATGGATTGAATGAAAATAATGAACCCACATTTGTATGTAAGAGGAAAAAGCCAAAGTCAAACTGTATATTGTTTGGGAGATAATCCAAACCTGTTACAAATTATTATTGTAATTATTTCACCTGGGATTAATATTTCACTGTATTACTGGAGCAGGCTTAGTGAACTAAAGCAAGTTCGTGATCTAGCCAGCTATATGCATTTACCATTCTTGTTCATCACATGTGATACAGCATTGTTCTGGTGCTTTTGCCCTGAAATCTGAATTCACAAAAGGTCCATAGGTCCATCATGCCATTGGTCCATCAAGCTCAGCATTGCCTGTGCTGATTGGTTGTAGCTCTCTAAAGTCTCAAATAAGAATCTTCTGCAGCTCTCCTTGGAAGCACCAGGAGCCAAAACAGATTTTTTCCCCCACATGAAATGCATGCTGTACCAATGAACAACTACCCTCCCCTTAATGTTCACTGGATCCCTCTTGACATTTTGGAGACTGGGGGTGGAAAGATCATTCAGAAATGAAGAGTTCCTTTCTTTTCGGTTTTTAAAAGAAAATCGAGAGGCAACCTCCCCCTTCCCCTGCACTTCTCACACTGTTTACTTTTAGTACACTCTTCTTTTTTTTTGTTTTTCTACTCTTGCTTCACAAGACAATGAAAATATATAGGACAATATGAGCTGAGCACAGTATTGAGAAATACATGTTTTGGAATGAACAGGAGTCAAGCTTTTGATTGGCGCAGGGGAAAAAGGCATTTGATGGCATTGGTACTGCTGAAAATGCTGTTTTGCCCAAAGATTTTTAAAAAAGAAGAAATACTTAAAACAATTTAAAACAGATTTTTAACACATTTACCTTTGGGAAGGACCATGAGAGATTTACCTATGATGAACAGTTTACAACACAAGCATTAACTCTTTCAGCAATTTAATGTCTGAACCATTTTCCAAAAGTACAAAAAACATTTCCATTTTAAAATCTATTAATAGTTGGTGGTTATTTTAGAAAAATTCTTAATATTCCATCTCTAAGAACTGTTCAGACTCTGTTGTTTATAACAGAACCTCCAATAGCTTCCTTTCTTACCAAGAAAAGCCTGTTTACACACACAGGACTCTTATTAATCTGCTAATATGAAAAGCTTCTATTATGTCCATTTATAGATTGCTTACTTGGAAGGTACTCTAAGAGCCTGTCCACACTGTAAAATTTGGTGCGATCATGCCCATGCTTAAAAGGTCCTTATGTTCAATGCAATCTATTTTAACCTCTCTTTTAAGTAACCCTTCTGTCAACACTGGTGTGTTGAGGCTTGTGGGAAGCTGGCTGTGGTGGCGGGGAGGCTTGCTGCCTCTCTGCTGCTCCTTCCTACTTCCCAGATCAACACGAGCAGGAAGCTGGCTGCATTGTTGGAGAGGCTTACCCACCTCTCTTTCAGCTGCTCTCTGCCTCTCAGTTGTTCCCCTCTGCTCCACAGCTGATCAGCAGAGGCCAGAAGCTGGTTGCTGGTGCCAGACTCAGAGGGCTCACAGCCTATCAGCTGTTCTTGTCCATTCCTAATCACTGCTGCTTCTGTCTCCACTATCATGACTGCCACTGCAAAGGTGATCTCTGGAGCTGCAGTGGTGGAGGTGACCCCAGGCTTCAGGGTGCTGTGTAGCCACCATGCTGCGGCAAGCCTGTTTGCAGTGTTTGTTTCTGAGAGAGTGGTTGCTGAAGAGCCTTTGCTGGTCTTGGACAGCCTCCTGGACTGCTCTTCTCCATCTGCCCCCTAAGCCTGCTAGGCTCTGAATCATGTCAAAAAGAATGCATGCCCTAGCACTGTGTTAGAAAGCACTGTGTTAGAAAGGTATGGGACAGCTCTTAAAGGAGAAGGGTAGATCTTCCTAAGTAAAAACACAAGTGGATGTGGTCTTTTCTTCAGATCCAGATCATGCTATCAACCATCTGTATACCATAACTATATGCAAGTATGGACAGGCCCTAAGACATATGGAATTCTTCCATCAGTAAGTCCTCCTTCACACACTTAAATGGAAGAATCCAACTGATGAAGTCACAGAACTGCATATACAAATTAAGTATGCCCTGTGAAAATATATATATGAAATAAATTAAATTTCAGTCTTCAATCAATCACATCTTCCCAGTGTTATTACATAGTGAACCAAACTTGTTATCAACTACAGTCTGCTACACTATCATAAACAAGCTAAGTCTTATCAAGTTGTAAATTTATTATTCTAGAAATCAATTTATTTCCTGCAGCATTTGGCCAGCCAGATGGATTTTATGTTTTGTGTAAAAGATATAAAATTATTGAAACGACACAGCTATCTTTGTGAAAAGCAGTTTAAATCATACTTTTCATTTCTGATTAAGACCAAAGACAAAAATCATGGCTGCTACAAAGGAGAATCTGGTGGCTTTTCACTCGAGTTGAGAGAAATTCAAGGAAAAGTAGGTGATCTCAGCTGGCAATACAGATAGCCTGAACCAATAAGCATTTGTTCCCAAAATGTGTTTCAAGGGTAAGGGTGTATAATGACAAATGTTAGCAGAAGAGTTGTACTTTGCTTCCTTGCCTGAATGCTACATCATATTCTGTAACCCAGAAAAAAGAAAAAGAAAATTCTTCATCAGGAAGGAACATTAATAAATAATTAGCAGACAATGGTGGTTGGTGTGTGCTTGGCAAAAAAAATTCAAACCTGAAATGAATGCTTCAGTTTTTGTGAGGCGTTTTCCTTTTGCTTTGTTTTCAGCCAAAGGTGTAAATAAAACTTCTTTCCTTTGATGATAAAAGATAAGGTGACCTTTAGATATGATGATGAAACTGGCTGTGTCCTGGACTTCCATATGTTCACTGTCTCCAAGAAGTGTGAAAACACAGTTTCCTTTCCTTTCTCCCTCCCTTAGAGATAAAGGTATCCAACCCAATACACCAAGTTAAACAGCAGGAACGATGTTGGAAAAAAGACTCTGGAATACGAGTCTAGTTCTAAGATGTCTATGTGTATCCGTCCTTTCCTCCATGAGCCTGATTTACACTCTTCATAGCAACAGAAAAAGCTCTGGCAGTCCTTTCCGTCCAGACATTCATAGATACAATTGTCTTCAAATTCTTGCCAGTACATGGCATTATTCAAGGCGATGACTGTGGGAGGAGGCCTCATCTCTAGTACAGAATAATTCTATAGAAAAAAAAAGAAGAAGAGGAAGGACAAAGAAGAATGCAGCTTAACTATCATCATGGAGATACCCGAGTTCTAGCAAGCAGACATTTTGGGCGACTCTAGGTATGAAGAGAAATCATGACAAGCGTTATGCCTGTTTGAAATGTTCCCTCATTCCCTCAAAGTCAAACAGAACAAGGCAAAATTTAGCATGTTGAAATTGTCATTTTGGATGTGTTCTAAGCCAGTTCTGTGCTGCTCATATTGTATATGTTTTGATTATAGATGGGGGTATTCATATATGAATACAAATGCCCCTGCACAGGTGGACATAACAAGGGTCTGGCTCCTGGGGCCAGATCATCCACTCATGCTTCCAGCAGCAGCCTTGGTCAGCCTTCCAATCGCTCCCAGAGCGCTGCTCTCTTTCCGCTCATCTAGCCACTTGGCAGCCATGCAGGGAGGATGTGCGAGTGGATGGTCTGGCCTCAGAGGCGGGACCCTGATTGAGTCCAGCTGTGTGGGGTTTTTCGTGTTCCTATACGAATACCCCCATCTCTAGTTTTGATTCATGGCGCAGGGGTTAAGACAATAAAGCATGCTTGGGGGTATTTAATTTTGTATGCATGCAGGGCCTTTTATTTAAAGGAATGAGGGATCATTTTATTTTAGTTACTTTGAGATCAGAATATATACAAATTACCAAAATTTGGTAGAGAGTAAGGAAGATGAAAAGAAAGTGATGTGGGACTGCAGTGGTGTCATCCTAGGGAAGTCATCTTTCTTCACACATACATTGTTTTTTTTTTTACTTTTGTTGTTGTTGTAGGAACTAGTATTTATATTAGTGTGGACTCCAAAGTCTCTTTCCCTAGACAGAAAGCTTCTTCAACTTTCAGAATGTTTAAGTGAGAGAGCAGTATGTGAGAAAAACTGAAAAAAAGCCCATTGTACTTGGCAAACTCTTGTTTGCTGCTTTCCTCTCTGGATTCAATTTCACTAGCTGTTTATATCAGATTGTCACAACTTGATGCTCTCCAGATGTTTGGGACTAGGAAAAAAAAGTACACCATTTGCATAGCAACTCAGAAGGATTTGGGCCGATATGTAGTTCTGTACTTGAGTATGCAGCATTGAGGAGGTAAATAGTATGCCAGCAGGTTATTTGAGCTAATTCTAAGCAAGGTGGGTTACTTCGGAAAATAAAACATCCATCTCTTGTTATATTAGCCTGAACATTAAGGTTGTTGATGCGCTCTAGGGCATGCTTTCCTTTCCCTTTGGTGGAGGGACACCTGCTTTGATGGGCATTTTAGATCAACTTCCTGAACAGAAACTGAAAGAGACAAAAAGGGTGCATGTGATTCTATTGAGGAGGGGAGGGTATGAGAAAGGGAAGAGGTGCTACCATGGCAGCAGCAAAGCTTAGAAAAGTTATTTTTACCAGTGGAATCCTAACTGAAAGGCTAGCTGGCTACAAAGGGTTTGGAAAAGGCAAACACTGCCTTCTGTAAGCAGAAATCCCCTTATGCTGGAAGAAATGGCCCTTCTGCCTTGTAACTGGCAGAACCTCTTTCTGCCATTCTCATAAATCTGCTGGCAGAGAAATCTGGCAGCAGGCCTGCTGCATTACCTAAATCCTTCTGGCAGAACAGCCAAAAAAGGAGGAGAAGGGGCAGAATGAGAGAGTAGCCAAGTTATTTTTAAAAAACTCAAACCTCCTCGTTCTCAGGAACACAGTCCCCATATTGGTATGAATTTAGGCCAGGACAGTGGTTGTCCTCAACAATTTCCTTTATCCTTAGACCAGGAGAAATTTAGGTGCAGCAGCACTGCTTCAGCTAACCTAGTGTGAAATCAACTGGCCACCAGACACCTTGGCTAGTTGGGAATGTACCGTTACACTAAAATTCCCAGAATTACCACACAGAATGAAAGGGTTTGGCGAACTGCTCAAAAAGTAGCTTCTCAACTTACAGTATGCACTTGCCCTCTCCTGAAATCTGTCAGCAAAGAGCTTAACTAAAGCAATTGCATAGTCTTCGTTAACAAAGCATGCACAGTTGAAAGGTGAACAGACTAATTAAATTAAATTAATTAATAGTTAAAAGAAAATCCATACTCACCATCATGTGACCAAAACTGACATCAGGTAGCTCAAGTGAAGGAAATAATAGGAAAAACTTAGGAGGATTTATAAGACTACACATATTATGCCTCACATATTTATAATGTTTATAATGTAGCACCTGAAATTATTTTGAAAGGTGTAGTCGAACAAACACATTAGAAACTTATCAGTGCAGCCCTACATATATCTTCTCAGAAGCAAGTGTCATTACCTTCCTAATTTCTAAACTCATTTACATGGGGATAAATCCTATTGAACTCAAAGAGGATTGCTTCTGAGTAAACATACACAGGATTGTTCTGCCAAGTCTGTCTAGTTTACATCAAATAGAATTGTTCTATTTGATGGCAATGTTCAGCTCAAATTAAATACAGTAAGACTGCCCTATCTGCAGGATAAATACCCACAAATACAGTAAGTACTGCCCAAAAATATTAAATTCCCCCCAACCCCCCAGAAATACGCATTGCCAATGTGTATTTTCAGAGCTGGTCACGAAAGGGAACTTCATACTATGCTTTTATGTTTTATGCTCTTTGCCCAATGTTTTATCTGTGGTCTTCAGCATTCGGGGGGTGGGGTGGGATTGAAACGCCATGGATCTTTCTACTGTATCCGTTGACTTTGAAGAGAAGCATTAAAGCAGTGGTTCTTAACCTTTGTTACTCGGATGCTTTTGAACTGCAACTCCCAGAAACCCCAGTCAGGACAGCTGGTGGTGAAGGCTTCTGGGAGTTGCAGTCCAAAACTCCTGAGTAACCCAAGGCTAAGAACCAGTGGATTAAAGTATGTGCTTAATGTATGATATCTGAAGCACAATCCACTCAATTCACTTCTGTTTTTAAATTATTGGAAGAGAAAGCATCAGAGATATTAAAAGTTAGGTTGTGGGGGGGGCTACAGTTATGAGAATCTATAGCCATGCTGGCTGTGAAATTCTGGAAGATGCAGCTTAAAAAATTAACTTCAGTTTTTGGAAAGGATTGCCCACAGCACTACCTCAGAGACAAATCTATGTACTGCTCAGCCACTCCTAAAACACTCAAATATTGATGTTTTGTTTTGAGCTGGAAGCAATACAGTTTACTTTCTTCCTATGACTTAAAAAAAGAACAACCTTAGGTCATTGTCTTAGGAATTGACCTAGGAATGATAATGCTCAAATGTTGCTATAAGGGCAGAAAAGGCAGTGTCTTATTATTTCATAAGTTGGAAAAATTACTATGTCAACAATGCTTAAATAGCTTCATATCCTGACAGTACCCTGGCTCTTAACTGTATCAATATCAGGCTATTATATCTGCCCAGTAGACATTATGTACTGCATTCAGGCTTCAAGTGAATAGCCATTCATTTGTTCACAGAACAAAACCAGGTTTTGTTCTGTTTTTGCTGCCGCAGGATATCGAAAATATTTGTCAGTGTCCACTTGCAAAAGCAAATGGAACCAAACCAAAAGATTCTAGACATGCTGCATTATTTCCTGCTCTTTGCCTCTTCAGATTGGCCTGCATGTAGGAACAAAGGAAAGCAGTCCAGAAAACCTTTCATATGAGAGACACACCTGCTCCCCATTGTAAACACAAAAGAGAAGAAGTGGTGGGCAGGTGCCTCACATTTCCATGAAGGGCCTTCCTGACAACAGCATTGCATCATACTCTATTCGTTTATGTGGGAAATAAAAGAAGTCAACAACTGAAAAATATCAAAGCGCATTCTCTTAACTGGGGGACAATTAAACAGAACTGTAGAGGGATGCAACTATGAACCCTTAGCAGGGATGGGACATGATTCAAGTCCAGGGCCATTTCACTGTCCGAGAACCACTCTCATGTTTCCACAAATTCTTATTAACCTGTTTATCTTTCCTCCCTATTTTGCACGCTGGACAGACCCATTAGGATACAGCCTCCTGAATTCTTCTGTTATGCTTACTCTGCTAGATGGAAGGAGCTTGATACCACTCAAACCTGACACCAGGTCATCATGTACCCTGTATATTTCTTGTGCTGATGTTCCTTTCACATTCTCTCATCGATTTCAGAAACCTTTCCACCATTCTCTGTGTAATAGCACTAGCTTGTATGCAAGGAACAAAAGACTAGATACTACACAGCATCTGTTAGTGCAAAAGATTTGTCCCCTGCATGACATTTCACCTTACCGACTTTTTCTTCTTTGTACAGTGTGGCTTCCTGCAACTTGAGTAGTAGTTGAGGGTGGCATACTCCATCAAAGCAGCAAAGACAAATAAGAAGCACACAGTCACAAACAAATCCATGGCAGTGACGTAAGAAACGCGGGGCAAAGAATTCCTGGCAATGGTGCTGAGAGTTGTCATGGTTAACACCGTGGTGATGCCTGTAGAGAGAAACATGTGTTTTTCTTGTGTTTGTTGGGAGAAAAGGTCAATCAATAATGGACCTGATTCAATCATTGTCCTGTTGCAGTACAAGGCTTAACTTTTTACAGTTTTGACAGATGGTAAATGATACACAGAAAATGATTTACTTCCTCCCTTCCTTTTACATCCTGTCCTTTCTTAGTAGAGAGTTGAGGGTGGCTAATACAAACCACACGTATCTAAAATTACAAATATCTAAAAGTATTGATTAATTGCTAAAAATATTATAAACACAAGACAAGCAATAGTAAAAAACAAACAAACAACAATCTGAGTACTTGGTTGCTTATTCCCCCAAAATAGATATACTTTTACCTGGCTTCTGAAAGACAAAAATGTGGGGAGCAATGGGGTTTCTGATCATAGAAGAGAGCAACATTACTAGGGGGCCACCCCGGAGAAAGCCCTGCTACAAGGGATAGTTGTCCAGTCTGCACTACTCTGGGACACTATATACAAAGCTTCCCTTAGTGATTATAAATCTCAGAAGGCTTGGCAGTGGGCCAGGTGTCTGTCATTTACAACTCTGCAAGCTAATGCCAATACTAATAGTTAATTATAAATATGAATACTACTGAAATTAAGTGCAAGCAATATCAGCAGGTTTGTCTGATGGGCGGAAAGGGGTCTACTATAGCAAAACTCAGAAATAATGAAGTACAAGTAAAATAATCACCTGTATGAGTAACAGGAATAACTTTTTAAAAAATGTCACTTTCTAAGCCATAGGGATACTGTATGTGTGTAGTCAGGCCAGGGATTCCTTTTACATATGTAGAACCCTTTCGTACCTTCAGCTGAATGCACAGGCTAAGGGTGAAGGTCAACTGGTGTCATATGCTCCCACCCCATGTACTGTACTTAGAGGGCAGCTAGACAACAAAATCATCCAAAGTTGGAGTGGACTCAAAAGCGTGCTTGGGAGTACAGTATGACATTTAATGTGACCCTTCAATTCATACCCAAACTTGGGAAAGAAGGGTTAACTTTTCCACAAACCTAGCTGAACAATCAGCATTTCCTTGCCAGATGAGGGTGCCTGCATTTGAAGTATCACTGAAATGCACTTTTTTTAAAAAAATTCAGAGAATGGACAACAGAAGAGGAGAGGGTGTCTGTGCTCTACATTGGCCTGCTATGACCAACCCACCTGAAAGATAGGAAAAAAGTAGCTCCTGCCAGTGATCCAAAAATGGATCAGGCAGTCACCACAAAATAGATTGAACTTGATTATCCCAACAGAGGAACAAAATGGGAGAGAAATTGTCCCGCAGTCTATGTGGGTTGGGGGAGAGTCTCAAAGAAGGTTCCTATCTCTGCTTCCAGTTTGCTAGGTCTATGTAGCTAGGGATTGGTAGGTGGATCTGTGAAGGTGGGGGATTCTTTGCAGATCAGAAAGCCAACAGATTTTGCAAACCTCTGAATATATCAACAGCATTCTTATTTTAAAACCTACTGAGATGCACATTTTGATAGCATTTTAATTATACATTAAATCATGTATTTTGAGACAAAACGCACATTTAAAATGAGCATTAAAACACTCATTTAAATACATAGTTGGAAAGGACCTTCTTCTGGAATTGAGGTTGAACATTGGAACGAAACGAGAAACAGTACAAAAACGACGTGGGCTAGGAGTAAGATAGTTCCTTACATCCTTCTGTAATTCCTCAGTGTCAGCTGTACGCAAAGGCAGTACTTTGCTTTCCATCATGTCAGTACATGCAGACCCATGGGGGTAAACTAGAAATCACCCAAGAGCCAATAATAACCACAGTGGAACAAGGGGAAAAGAGTGAGGACAAACCTTCTGATCGAAAACCTTGTCAGCCTGAATAAGTGCCTCCTTATCTAATTTTGCTTAATTTGGCCTTAGGCCAATATTCTCCAGGCAGCAAATATAGAACGATACCTTAATCAAGTGATTTGAGAGCTTCAGATATGTTTCAATGAATTATTTCATTTTTGTATTCCCTACCCAGCAGCTTGTTTCTGACGGTGTTTGCTATTTCACCATAAATGGCATCAGGTATGGCTCTGCTGTGGGGAATGAAACCTTAACTTCAAACAACAGAGAGCAGTTGCCAACAGTGCTAGCATTTCACTAATTAATTTCACCAACTGAAATATCCCTGTGATGTTTTTCAGTTAGGGTTAATGGAGTTACACTTGGGAAGCTTTTGGCTCCATGACTCTCCAAATTCATTCTCACTAATTAACAATAATGACGAGGAAACAAATGAATAATTTCAGCAGGTAGCCTTTGGCTATGTATAGAAAACAATTTTTCCCTCAACGTTTTTGGAACCAGACACTCTTTGCTACTTCTGATCAAAATCCCCAGTATGAGACATATTTACACTCCCTGTGTCTGGATTCTGATATGTTACACTGATTTGAATCAATTAGTCTTCATAGTTCCATAGCTTTTCATGATCCACACAGTCTATAGCTTTGCTGTACAGTGGACCCTCGACTTACAGATGGCTCAACTTACAGACTTTTCAAGTTACAGACTTCTTTGGCGGCAAAATTTAGGTTCAACTTGCAGCCTGAGAATCGACCTACAGACCAGAAAAAAACCAAAATGGAACAAAAATGGAACAAAAACAGCTGGTTATGGGATTAATCGGTTTTCAATGCATTGTAGGTCAATGGAGACTCGACCTACAGACTTTTCGACCCGCAGCCACAGTTCCAATACGGATTAATTCTGTAAGTAGAGGGTCCACTGTAATCTACAAAGGATAGATTGCTCCTCTTCTGGAATTCTGTGGTATGTTCTATTAGCCAATCAATATTTGCAATGGGGTCTCTGCGCCTCTTCATTATCTGAATCCAGTTTGACCACTGGGCATTTCTCACTCCATATATAGTGAAATCTTTTGTTACAAAATCTTCAACATCATTTGGTTTAAGCAGGAAATTAATGCAATGGTCCTACAATTATTGCGCTCTTTGGCATCTCCTTTCTTCATAAGGTAATGGGCTTTAATTCCACAGTCAAATCCAATCCCAATGATTATGACAAGGATAGACTGCAACAACATACAGTTCCTGGGGCAAAAATAGAAAAAGGTTCTGTTGTCCTTAAAAGAATGCAAATGCAAGAGCAGGTGATACCTTTATTAGACCACCAACATTCAATGATAATTAATCTTAACTTCACCCAAGGTAGTATTTAGCTGGATTTCCCATTTCTCTCCCAGTTACTGTGAGATTGTAGCTAAAGAAGAAGGAAGAGAGAAGCCTGAGGGTGGTGGTGGTGCATGATGTCACAGCTCCTGCTAATCAGAAAATCCAGGAGCTTTGACCCTTCAAGCTACATTACACAACTAGTCCTTAGGCATAACAGAAAAGGTGTGGGAAGACAAAGCCAGGGGCAGTAAGCCATCCCCAGCACACCTAACTCATTCTCCAGCAGAGCAGGATTATGGAGTAGGATGTATTCAGTGTCAAGGCTGGAGCTCCCACAATCCAGATTTAACTGGTCAGGCATTTGGAGCCTAAGTGGTCTGACTGAATGGACAATGGGAGGTGCTCTTTTCCAGCTCTCACCTTGGCTGATACAATACTTGCAAATAGGATGCTTGGTGTGTGTGTAGCAGTTCCTTGAGACATCAGCATCCTCAAATCCTGTGTAGCCCTGCCCTCTGTTAGGCTACTGCAGTACAATCAGCAGTAAAATAAAATCTTGTGGCACCTTAAAGACTAACAGCTTTCTTGGACTGCCAGTGTCATCAGAAAGCTTATTCCAAATAAAACTTACTAGACAAAGAGGTCCCACAAGACACTGTTTTGGTTTTTCTCAATGGACTAACTACCTCCCTCACAAAGAAATAAATGATATGCCAACAATGGAAAAAGTTGAATTTCTGCTCTTATAATTGAGAAAGTAGTCGCTCTAATTTTGTTAATAGTTTTTATCGTATGTCTTCCCTCAGGTGTTGGACAAAAAAGGCATGAAGGGACCTCTCTTAAGAATAAGGTGTGTGGATGGGAAGATATAGTCCTTCAGAGGCTTATACACCTCAGTTCCTATTATTTCTCTCACTAAGCTGACTGGGGCTGATTTCCCCTCTCTTTCTCTCTCTTTCTAACCTATCTTATATCAGCAGATTTTAGGACAAGTTACAATCAAGAAAACCACATTAAAAGAACTAATGGAACTTGATTCCTTTAGAACTATTTAAACCAGTTAAAAATTCAGTTTAGAACTGTGGGATTTGTATTGTACTTACTTGGATTTATGAAGACTGGATGCTAACCAGTATTTGGAGGGCTGCACATTCCCAAGCTCTCTTTTAACAACTGCTGTTGTGAAAGGTTGCAAGGTGGAAGGACAAACAACTTATTATAATAATAATAATAATAATAATAATAATAATAATAATAATAATAATAATAATAATAATAATAATAATAATAATAATAATAATAATAATAATAATAATAATAATAATAATAATAATAATAATAATAATAATAATAATAATAATAATAATAATAATAATAATAATAATAATAATAATAATAATAATAATAATAATAATAATAATAATAATAATAATACTGTTTTGAGCAACTTCTTTGACTGGATGTCTTTAACTTTCTAGATTGTCTGTTGATTAAGGAAGGCATCCAAACATTTCTAAGATAATACCATGTCATGATTAAACTTCTAACCTCTGTTACCCTATAATCAGATTGGCGACAGAGGTGCAGCATGAGTGGCAAGGTGCTTTTGGAAAGCTGAGGCCAGAGGCTTTTTTCCTTGCTGCACGAAGCTACTTGACATTTACACCATCTTTGTTCTTTGATAAAAGTCAAGCATTGGGAAAATGCAATTCAAGAGCATGCTCTGTCATTTTGCCGTACTTTCAAGAGACGCAAACTATTCACAGCTGTGTCTGATCCTGCCTTGCCTCTGTTGCTATGCCTAATCTAAGGGAAGGAAGGAAATTTAGCAGTGCCTGGTCCCCAACCACTGGCATCTTCCAATATACTAGTGAGGAAAATAGCAAAGATTTGAAAGGTGTATCTCAGGGCTTATAAACATTGTCAAGTCAACAGAATCACATTGAGACAAATCACGAACGTCTTCTCTCTTATATCTGTTTACCATTAATCTAGGCCACTAGTTCTCAACCAGTGGTACATTTACCATATTTGGAATCCAGTTTTCTTAACAATTACTAAGAACTCAACTCTTCCTTAGTTCATGCATCCTCCTGCAGATGTGAAGTCCTGGCTCCTACTGACCTCACCTGTTACAGGTTATCAATCCAGAGTATGAACATATGTTCCATTTGGCATGCTCACATGTTGCAGTAAAATTAATGCTTCATAGTATTGTTGCAATTTTCAATGACTAATAGAAATATCATTTTTGTTTCCTTGGGCTTACCCTCAGCATACCGTGCCCCCCCTTTTCAATGACTAATAGAAATATCATTTTTGCTACCGTGCCTTTTAAATGTTCCTCTTAGAAAAAGTGGACTTTTTGTTTCTATCATGGTGGACCCAGTTTCTTTGGAGGACTGGTTGGCAGAGTATAAAATATCCAAGAGTCACTGATATACGCAGCCCTGTATGGTAAGCACATCTCAGGGGCATCACATATATGTAGCTGCCACCACCACCACCACCACCATGCTATCTGGTTTTACAATTCCTAAACTGGCTACTGGGACAGAGAATAAAAGATCTGGTACAGCAGAGACCATTTTTTCCCAGTGGGTTCTGGTGACCTGCTGCTTTCACTGATAATGAGCTGCAGTATATATATAAAGTAAGCAGTCATGCAGTGCAAGGCACCACTTTCAAAGGGTACAGTCTGGGTCAGTGGCTATGATGGTTGTAGGAAAATATAACATTTCCATGGTTTGGTTTAAGAGTAAGGAACTAGTTGGGCAAAGGGAAGCAAATCCCTCTGATTTTGGCCAAGATGGCAAAAGCATGGCCAAACCCACTTATATCCCCAACATTGCTCCCAATGTGTGAAGAAGGCATAATGAAGGTTATTTAGCTGATGCTTTGGGAGTTAACTGCCTACTGACATTGAAAGTACTCGGGATAGACTGGGATGGACTGGGATGGAAAGACTAGGGATGGACTGAGTACTCACAAAGTTTCCTTTTCTCATCCATTTTCTCATTCCACATCAAGACATGCCCTGCATTTAGTAAAACTTCCCATCCATCCATCCATCCATCCATCCATCCATCCATCCATCCATCCATCCATCCATCCATCCATCCATCCATCCATCCATCCATCCATCCATCCAATGTGCTTCACCTCAATATTAAAAGCTAAAAAACAATAAATTATTACAATATTTAAAAATATTATAATGGATAAAAGCTAGCGGATAAAACAGTTTAAAATCATTCAAAAGCTAAAAACAATAAATTATTACAATACTTAAAAATATTATAATAGATAAAAGCTAGCAGATAAAACAGTTTAAAATCATTTCCAAAAGCACTAACAAGAACAACATCAAAATAACAAAAAACAGCAGTTCTGTTAATATAAGAACCCTCTATTAAGCAGCCAGTTACTGACAATAACAAGAACAACATCAAAATAACAAAAAAGCAGCAGTTCTGTTAACATAAGAACCCTCTATTAGGCAGCCAGTTACTGACAAAAGTTCTGCCTGAAGAGAAAGGTCTCTGCCTGCCTGCAGAAGGATGGCAAAAGAGGGGCCAGCCTGGTCTCCAGTGGGAGGGACCTCCATAATTTGGGAGCAGTTTTCACCAAATGCACCTGTGAGGGTGACAGGACCAAGAAATTGGAAGAGACATTGTGGAAGGCAACATAGCTAATAGATGAGATGCCAGTTGCATGCTGGTCACGTGCCTGGTCAAGCATCCAATCATGTGTTGACATGTAGCTGGCAGCTTGTCAGTTCACTGCAGCAGTTTCCATGATATTCCTCCACGTGTGGTAAAAAGCAAGAGGATTCTGGCCACTGTGTTATGAGCCGCCTAGAGTGGTCTTTTAGGCCAGATTGGTGGGGTATAAATCAAATCAAATCAAATCAAATCAAATAAATAAGTAAATAAATAAATCTCCCTATAAAGGTTTAGAAGTGTAGTTAGGGGAGAACTTAGAGAACAGCAACTGCTGGTATGGGTGCAAATGGAATAGTGAGCTATGTGACTTGCTACTTTTCAAACATAGCCATCTTGGGACTAGAGAACAGGTGGGAGGCAGGGGAGAACAGGACTACAAGGTGAATTTCTTTGCATAGTAGATGGTCATGAAACAATTATTTGTTGTAAGTTAGAAAGCATTTCTTTATGTCAAAAGAATCTAGATCCACATACATCAGGCAGAATCCCACCTCTCCCCACCCACAAAGCTCTTACCTAGGGCTGTTCTTGCTGGTGTGGCATCTTTTTTGATCCAAAACGATACCCAGGATAAGACAACTGTTAATATACAGGGAATGTATGTTTGAATAGTGAAGTATCCCATTCTTCTACTTAAGTCGAAGTAGATGGTCATGACTATATAATCACCTGCAACAATGACAACAAAATCATACTGTTTGATAACTGGTGTGCATCAGCTTGTTTACAACTCACTGGGAGTCTTGGTTTCAGGCAAAAGAAAACAGAGTATTTTTCAACAATCACCTGCTATGTTAACAATCATAGACATCAAAGCTGCCTAAATATAGAATGACTTTATAACGAGGATGTCAAGATCAAAGAGGCTGGAGGGAGACCCTCAAGTTAATATTCATTTAATATTTCCTACAACAAAAATGACAGTTCACTTTGAATTTGACACCAACCAACATAAATTGCAACTTTAAAGCTCTCAAAACTGGTATAGGAACACCTTCCCAGACGTATGCTAACCTTGAAGATGATTCCGTAAGGCATGCAGCGTGTGATATGAAGTGGCCCAGGATGACGCACTGAGAATTTCTGAGAGTCTCTCTCCTCAGGCCCCTAGGCCTTAGTTTCACAGAACAGCTTTATATCCTAATTTGTGGAGCCTAAATTGAAATCTAAGAAGGAAATGGATTTAATGGAGTAACCCTGTGCATGTCTGTTCAGAAATAAGACCCACTGAGTTTAATGGAGCTTACTCCCAGCTAAGTGGCTATAAGACTACAATCTTACTGTGGAGCAATGCAGTTGCTGTGGAACAGTGATGCATTGAGGGGCTGGAAGACTTCCTCTTTAAGTGATGCACTTAGACACGATTATGTGAAAGTAAATTTTCTTTAAAATCAGTGCGCTTAGTTTCAAGCACACTAACTCGTTGAGAAGAGCGACTTCTATTTCTTCGAGAGAATAGAATTCTAATATTTGAAAGCATCCAGACAAAAGATTTTGAGGACATGTGAGCTGTATCTGTGCCAAGAGAATATGCAGGGAAGGTGTGTAGCTCCTGTGGGCTTAAACAGACCCTCAGCACTATGGCCCAGCACCCCAACTTATCCCCTGCCCCAAAAATTTAAAAGCTTTTTTTTTTGCCAAAGTATATGTCAGTTCAGCAAATCCCTTTGTCTCATTTAGCAATCTTGCTGGGTAATTTTGCCTTGTTTCAAGGTGCCTTACACCTCTGAAGACCCCACCCCTGCAACTGCAAAGCATGGGAGAATTTGTGCAAGTTGTGCAAATTGCTTAAATTACATACCTCAAGTGAATACTCCTGCTGATTTATTTAAGAATTTGAGGCAATAGAGAGGGGTTTTAAAACTTTTTTGCCTATTTATATCATGGTGCCAATATAATCCAATTTTCCAGGCATGTTGTGCTTGCTAGTGTATATCTTTACAGGCCTGCTTCTTAAAAGCAGAGGGCATTACAGAGCCCTTGAAGGAAAAAGGAGGTCTTTGTCTCCCTCTTGGCTGAGCGGGAGGAATCTTGTGAGACTTGAAAATACATCATTGAGGTGTCTTCTTTTGTTCAGACACCTACATCAGCGAGAATTGGGAATTTAGCAAGTATTCTTCTCATCCCAATTCTGCTGTCACTGCTTTTCTGTCAGATGTTTCACTGGATTGGTCTTTTCTTTCTCACATTTGAATTGTTTTGAACATGAACAGTGGTCTATAAATATGACAAATAAATATTTTGGGAGGTGTATGTGCATGTGCAGAAACCCATAGTAACTATTGTGGTGCTAATGTGAAAAAAGGTCAATAAAGATCCGCAGATGAGGATGATATTTCATTGCTGACAAATAACCACATTGATTCACCGCTAAGAGCCTGAACCAGCAATTGTATTCAAGGCTAGCTATCTACCTTTTTCTTCTCATTTCCTTTTACAAGCACATTCTCCTTCTGTTCAGCTTTTTTCTAACATAACTGCTTATTTCTTTCCCTTTATACAATGGACTGCAATTTTCATGCCTGCAACCTTCTGTGCTTATGGCTCCTTCCCATTAAGCTGAAATTCAAGATTTCTTTCTTTCTTTAAAGTGCCTCATCTTCTTATGGCTCCAGCAAATGGATTAAAACACATACACATTCTAGAGAAAAATATGTTTAAGAACTCCACAAGTAACACTATTGAGCTGTATTGTTACATAAAGATTAATCACACAGGTTGATCTAAAATGATAATATACTTGAACTTATTGTCATGGCTACACATGAATGCAGATTCTCTGTGGTGACTTTTACTTAGAGCATCTTAGCTTAAATAAACATGAAATGGAATGAAATGATGGTGTGATGCAGGAGGGGGCAGAAATTAGATTGAGACAAGTTATTAGAGTTCTGGGTGATTTCCAATGGTTCAGTAAGGTTTTCTGACTCCTACTTGCGACAATGAAATTAGCAACAATAAAATGACCTCTGTCCCAAAACACACATGCTCGTGTGCACGTGCACGCACGCACGCACGCACGCACGCACGCACGCACGCACACACACACACACACACACACACACACACACACACACACAGAGTTGTTATAATTGGTAGTGATTGGCAATCACCAAACAAAGGCTTTTGTGTAAAAGGCTGGTGAGCTCATATCCTTTTTCTGGTACTGAAACCAAATTTGTAGGAATCAACACCTTGCTCTTCATTAGCACCTGGCTCTGATTGATGAATCATGGGGTTCTAGAAAGAAACAAAACAGATCTGAAGTCCACTTATCCCTGACCTAATTGAATAAGAAGTATCATGGGGTCACGAAGAGTCGGACATGACTAAACGAACGGAACAGTACAATGACACTCAAGGCACTTGGATTTAAGTTGTTTCATTACCTTAGCTTTTGGTGCTTTCTAAGTAGGCAATCCTAACTCAAAGAGGCACTGGCCATGGATGGTTAGAGATACTTGGCCTTTCTGCTCTAACTTTTCACTTTGGATGCAAAGTCCTGATTCCCATTTGATACCGAACTACACCTCAACTCACACAACTTATGGGGCTGTCTTTGTAAGTGTTATATACTCTGAGTGACAGCAGCTCCTTGGGGTACCAGAAGACACCTTTCTCAGTTGTGCTAAAGAAAACCTTTGTAATTCAAGATGCTATGAACCACCTTTCAGATCTATTTTAAGTGATGCATATTCTCTTCCAATGAACCCGCTCCTTCTTTTATATGATTTCTCATTCAGAGGATTTCCTTTCCTTTGGAGTCTTTACTGTCTTATTGGAAGCATCTACCAAATCCTGCATCTTCTCCCAGAATTCTTCCAAATGGAGAACTCCCATCACTTCTTACCAAATGACTTTGGGGCTGTTCTATTCATGTAATAGATTTTCTCTGGAAGGAAAAAAAAGCCAGAAGAAGCAGTGCCAGTGGAAATGTACTAGAGGTTTACAAGTGGAACACAGTATCATCCAGAAACCTGCACCATATAGCGCAGAGCAATTGCACAATAAACCCTTGCCTGGTGGTTAACAATATTCAAGCTGATTAATTGGTAAAAAACCAGATAATAATTGTTAATTAATCTGGTAGATCTTAAATTCACATGGATTTACAAATGGCAACATCTTACCAATGGTATGTTCCTCGTCTAATGCCATAGCTTAAAAATGAATACAACTACAGTGGTGCCTCGCTTTATGATTGCCCCGTTTAATGATGAAACCGCATTATGATGAACTTTTTGCGATTGCTTTTGCGATCGCAAAACGATGTTTCCTATGGGGGAATTTTGCTTTGCGATGATCGGTTCCCTGCTTCGGGAACCGATTCTTCACAAAACGACGATTTTCCAACAGCTGATCAGTGGTTTCAAAATGGCCGCCGGGTAAACAAAATGGCCCCCGCTGTTTTCTGGGACGGATTCCTCGCTGCACAGGCAGCGAAAATGGCCGCCTTATGGAGGATCATCGTTGGACGGTGAGTTTACAGCCCTTTGGAATGCATTAAACAGGTTTTAATGCATTTCAATTTTTCTTTTTGCATTACGTTTTTGTTCTACAGCGATTTCACTGGAACGAATTAACATCATAATGCAAGGCACCACTTGTACATATTTTCAGGAAGGAGAACTGTTTATACTATTGTCTCTAAAATGTGAAGCTGAGAATGTTTTCATTCACTCAGGATTGCAAATTTAACTGTGATCAATAGAACCAAAGAAGCTAACAATAATATCCTTAGATTTTTCTGAACTGGCTGAAGTTCTTTAACAGTGATTTTACATATTCCTATCCATCACTGCAGAGTCAAACAATAGGAGTGTCAAATATATCTTCTTAAAGCCCTGCAACATGCTGTTTGTTGGTCTGAAATCATCATTTCTTTGCTCAAACAGGGGCACTTTGCCCAAGCATAAATCCCAAGCCCAAGCATTACTCCAATTTTAAGCCAGAGCTGTGGAAGCAATCATTCTGGTAGAGAAGTGCTTGATTAAATATACATCGGCGGGGATCAATGTACATGTATGTAATTAATGAATCATATCAAGTAACATCTAAGGGAAAGCATACTTTTTTTCACAAGTAAGAATGTGGGTAAACTAGGTAGAAAGAATGGTATTTGAATTGGATTTAGAATGTTTCACATCTATTCTAAAAAATATGACTACATGACACATGTGGAAGAGCAGATTGTTTTGACAGGGAATTGTTTTATTTTTATGAGAGGTGAGATATTTTACTCTTCCACTAAAAGACCATTATTCTCCTTCAGGGACATATTGCCTAAAACTAATCAAGATATTTGACACCTGAGGAAGAAAATCCCACAAATCTGTCTCAACCTACCCCTTACAACAAATGAAATAATAATAAGATAAAATAATATATTTCCATTTCATGACATTCCCAATCAGTTATCTGAGGCAGTTACTTCATTCAAATGGTCAGTCCATCCTTCTCAAATTGTGGGCTTTAGGACTGGAACCACCACCACCATAAATCTGTTAAGGCAAGGGTAGGTAGCTATTTTCTGGGGCAGAGTACTGAAGTCCAGTTTGGGAAGAGTCTTGGGTTCTGTATTTCATCTGTCAGTAGGCCTAAGGATTACAGATGCAAATCCTAACTTGTTGTCTTCTCACAGCCAAGAACGAGGAATGGCAACACTCTTT